TATGCATGTGTTTTTTCTTATGTATTTTGTGTTATTGGTTCTTCAGCTTAAAGGAAAGTACTTATTCGACCTTTGTTGAACTGCTTGAGTCTTTTGCTTTTTATTTGCAAATTTGAAAGCTATACAGAATTAAAATAATTACAGACATATGTGATACATCAATTTGTTTTGTGTTCTTTTCAAATAGGGCAGAACCAGAGTCTGTGTACACACAGACTTGAGAGTGTACACTGAACTCTTTATCTGCAGGATATTAACAAACAGGCAAGTGCATGAGATGAGTGGTAAATGAGTTCAAGGACATCTTTAAACTTGCGTCTTTGAGTCTTTATGGTCTGAGGTCATGTCGTAAGCCTTGTGACAGTCACAGAGACAACTCTTTACAGGTTGCAAACAGGAAGTGTGTGTGGAAACAGAAAGTAAGTCTTGAAGTTCAGTCTGTGAAAACAGTCATGAATCATGAATGAGGTAACAAATTAAATGTAGGGAATCAGAAATGTGAATGCAGTTGTGTGTGTTTTATATGTATTGTGATATTACTGATTGGCAGACATTCTTTAGCCACAGAATTAAGAAAAAGCTTTTCAGATGATTTAATTTGCATTTGTACTGTTTCTTTTAGTAGTTTCTACTGCTTTGTCTGTGGTTTTAATTTTAAATTTAAAGTTTTTAAAGTTTTTTTCCAGAAACGTGGGTGGCACAACTTCAAATAACACTTTGATCCATCTGGATCATTCCACTAAATCTCTTAAACAAACTCTTAGGTGCGTGAGTGTAATGTGTCACTGATATTTCTTATCAATTGAAACGGTCGCCTACAGCTTTGAACTGGCCTCCTGGCATGCTGGGCACCTACATGACTTTTGGACTGATGCACTTTTTTAAATTTTAAATAGATTCTTTTCACCTAAATCTTACAAAATGCACATTTAACTAATAACAGAGGATGTGTCAGACACGTTGCTTTAATTCTATCGCTCAGCACAAAATAACATATTTACATTTAACCAGACTGCATCTTGGCCACCTTGGCACATGCCAGGCTGGAGGTGTACCCACAATTAAAATGTTCATAACTCAGTGAACACATTATCCCTCATTCCTTATTTCAATGATTGACTCTGACTTTTTTCTGTCTGACTCAGCAAGCTGCTGACAGGTTCACTTTTTCTCCCTCTGACTTTATGAGCTGCTAAAAACCACCTGACTCGATACACTGAAAGTTGTAACCATACACGGCTATACAGGGGCCTAGCACAAAATTCTGGGCCCTATACACAAGCACTCGCTGGGCCCCCTTCCTCTCTCCATACATGATGTGCCTCACACATACTTAATTTTATTATAATTATTATTTTGTTTTACAAATGATAGAGCCAACTGTACAAATCTGGAGTGTTTTTTAAGGATAGTCACAAATTAACTGTACATACCAAATAAAGTAAATACAGGGAAATACAGTAATCACATCAGAAACCCCCCAAAGGCTGTAGTTATATTAAAAGTTAATGTAAAGAACTTGCGTTCTCCATCTCGCTCAATTCAATTCGCTTCAATAAGCTTTATTGGCATGAAAGTTACATTAACCATATTGCCGAAGCATCATAAATTATATAAGAAGAAATAATAATAATAATAACAACAATACTCGACTCTGATCTTAGAAGAAATAATCATAACAACATATTAATGTAAAAAAACACAACAACATGAGAAGGAGAGAAAAGAAAAACACACATGAAGTGAATGCCCCCACTATTTTGAAGAGAAAGTTTGGTTACTCAATCGATTTATTCAGAAAGTTGATGCCAAAAAAAACATTCAGGCTTGTCAATGACCTCTCCCCTTTGGGGCCCTTGGAGGTCAGTCCCACCCCCTCACATCCACACACCTCAAACAACCCCCCTCCGGAAAACCCAACTTCCCTCCCACACAAACCCACCCACCCACCCACCCACTATGGCACCCCTGTGGCTATATAAGAGTGGTCCTCTGCCACAGTCCTGCATCACTTGCATCTACAAAAGGACAGGTAAGACTCACACTCACGCATACACAGATGACCACACTTCCTGTAATGAAGGTGCGCTGCTGCAAAGCCAACATTGGCAAACCAACGTACAAATCTGTAGTACAAAGAGTTTAGTCTCAACTTTTTGCTCTTTCTTCGTCGGTCAGGATGAAGCTGCTCTTGGTTGTTGTTGCTGCTCTGGCCGTGGCCAGCTTTGCCAATGCTTCCCTGCAGGACCACGATTTCAACGCCTGGAAACTCAAGTGTGGTGAGGCAATGTTAAATCTTCTCAGACAGTTTTATCTCATTGTGTTCTTTTATCAAATACAGAACATGTTAAGATTTTATCAATAAGGCTTACTGACTTTAAAGCCTTCAAATTTGAGGCTTAATTCTGGTTATATATTGTGCTCATCTACACTTGACCACAAATGTAAATCTCCAAAATGATTCAAATGTTTGTGTCTGAACGATTTCTTGAAAAATGATAATTTCTCTGGATTCTCTGCCCTCTGATTTTTTTCGTTTCTGGTTGACAGGAAGATCCTACAACTCTTCATCAGAGGAGGACAAACGCATGCAAATCTGGCTCAGAAACCGTGAAATCGTGATGGCACACAATGCCATGGCCGATCAGGGCCATTCAACCTACCGCCTTGGGATGACCTTCTATGCTGACCTTGTATGATAAGCGGCCGAAGTTGTTTACTAAACACCATCAGTGTCATTTTGTTGCAGTGAGATTATGACCAAACTGTGATCGACATTTTGGATAAAGTAACTCTCTGAACTTTTGTCTGTCCTCACCAGGAACATGAGGAGTTCAAACAAACTGTCTTTGGTGTCTGCCTGGGCTCCTTCAACGCTTCTAAGCCTCGCGTTGGCTCCAGTTTCTTGAAAAYGCRTAMATYC